CCTCCGGGGAACGCGCGGGCCTGGCGCGCCACCCCCGGGGTACGCGGGAGGAAACAGGCGGGTTTTGAGTCTCTCGACTCTATGGACGTCTCCACTCTAACAGACTGTTTCTTTCCTTTTTTTTAAACAGCGGAGTTCCTCTTTTCAACTTGACTCCCCGACTGTCCTCAGCAGAATCCAATTGCCCTGGATTTCTTAAAGGTTTTAAGCTGTTTCTCCAACTTGGTATTTATTTATTTCTTCCTTCTGGTGTCTAAAGACTGTGATCAAGGCTGTCCTGCGCTCTTGGCAAGGCTTAGTCCGGCTCTGTGGGGTACTAAGAAGTTCAGAGGATTACTTGGTGGCCTGTGGGGAGGGGCAGACCAACAACACCCTGTGCCTGGTTCAGGTTCTGGTGGCCCCACCTCCGACGTGCCCTCAGTTTAGTCTTGTGTAGGGATGGAGGCCATCACGCACAAAATCACAGTAAGACCAAAACAAAAGTTAGCAAGCAAAAAAAAAAAAAAAACACCTCCCTGTGTGTAAGCGAAGACTCCAGAGAACGGGGGTGTCAGGGCAAGCTTTTAAGTTTAGACTCCTAAGACCCCTCAAGTAGGTCTTTCCCACTGCCCGCACGTGACCTTGAGAGTGAGCATGGCCACTCAATGTTGGGGGCCTCTGGACAGCTGTAAACGTGGGAAGGCTTTTGTCAAGAGGAGCCCAGGCTCCTGGTGCTTATCCCACTGGGCCCTTGGCGCTGCAGCCACGGGAGTGGGGTAGTGTTATCAGTTGGAAGGCAGTCTTCCTGCCCCTCACCCCATCCTCTTAGATACCCTCCTCTTCAGGTTCCAAATGTAGCTCCATTCCTTGCTTGGCAGGCAGGGTTTCCTGAACTTGGAGGCTGTGCTGAGTACCTGGGGTCTGCCCTGATCTCCCAGAATCCAGGAGATATGCGAAGAAAAATTGGGACAGCTCTGGCAGTTAGAATTTGCTCAGTTTACACACATTCCTCCTTGCCTACTACTGTCAGCTCCTCTAGCTGGCTTTTGATTAGTTGCCCTTGGCTGCCCTTGCTAGTTACCAGAACCGGATTTTGCTAGGAGAATGATTTGAGCATGTCCTTCTGGGGAGGGTGGCCTGAGAACACCCTGTGATTTACCCCAGATCTGGCAGTCCCCAGAGTCAGCCCTGGGGCAGACAAAGAAAAGCAGAGTTGATAAGCAGGAGGCAATCTTTATGGAAAAGAAAACCTCCCTCTTTTCTGCGGTCCTTTGCCAATCCTGCCCCCAGGTTGCAGCACTCAAGGGACCTAGCCGAAGGTGAATGGCTCCTTGTTTCTTTGACAGGTGTTCCAATATGTGTGTGGGCATGGGCCCAGGTGGGGAGGAACATCCCTTGCACCAGGCGGGGAAAGCCCTGCCAAGTATCATGGTTTAAACTTATGATGAGAAGAATTTATCTCAGTCTACTGAGATCTTGCTTCTAGGCGCATCCTTTGTTTGGCTCAAATTCATTTTTATAATACAGAAACAAAAAACTTACCATGAGCTGCTCCTCAATACTGTGGAACACCTGCCTTCTTGGCTCTTCTCCAGCAGAGATAAGACCCCAGCCTGCTAGTGACCAGCTTTTCGGGGGGACGGTAAGAGACTATAGGCACAACAACCATGACTAATTAGTAACATTTGCCAAAATCAAAGGCATATAAAAAGAGTGGTGGTGGTTTTTATTTTTTAATCTGAAATCTCTTAGGTGAGAGTTTAGGACAAATTCTGATTGCTACCAAGATAACTTGCTGATGAGGTGAAGCTGAGCTCAGAGGAAGTAATGAAGTTCATAGGAGGTATTGGTTTACTTCCTACCAGTGTCTATGTGGTCTCCACTTTCAGTTCTTGGTTATCAGGGTTCTTTCCAGCTACTCTTCAATTTATTATTCAAGATGATGTTTTCTGGATTTACATTGTAATTTAAGTTTGGTCCTGGGAGGGTGTCAGCGTAACTTCCATTTAATCTGCCGCCATTTCCCTGCTCTGAATCTATATCCTGCCTACTGGGTTTCTCAAAGGGACAGTAGGAAGAGATATGAAGACTCCTTTCTCCTTCAGGCTTTTGATTATTAGTTTTATTCCTTCTTTAGCACCTTGTTTTAGAGCAGTGGTTCTCAAATGCTGCGACCCTTTAATACAGTTCCTCATGTTGTGGTGACCCCCAATTTCATTGTTACAAATTGAACATAATTAAAGCATAGTGATTAATCACAAAAACAATATGTAATGATATATGTGTTTTCCGATGGTCGTAGGTGACCCCTGTGAAAGGGTCGTTCGACCCCCAAAGGGGTCGCGACCCACAGGTTGAGAACCTCTGTTTTAGAGGCTATTGTGCAAATTTGGGTAAAGGTTTAGGTAGGTCATTCTGAACCTTGATGAGTTTAGTCTGGAAGAGTATCATTAGAATTGTTTGCCCACAAAAGAGCTTCAATCTGTGCTTGATTTACACAAAAAAGTACTGGTACAACAATATCCAAGTTAGCCAGGACCTCATTATGAATAGAGATGTCCTCTGGGATTGGAGGGAAGGGACCATCAGGACACAGTAAATCCCTTGCTATTAAGTTAATGATTGTCACAAAGGAAAAACCTCTTTGGTTAAAGATTCTAGGCTAAAAAGGGGAAAGAAAGGTTCAAGGGTGACAGTTATACGGGTTGGGGGGGGGGCTGGAGTAGGTGCGATGAGGATTATTAACTAGATGCATGACTGGAATAGTTTGTTGACTCCAAGGAACATGCTGTATAGTAGTGCTCAGGTTTAAGATTGATATTATTGTGCCCATATCAATCAAAAAGTTGTAATGTTATCCTTTAATTTTTAGAGAAATGTTTCCTTGCAGGTTTAAGAATAAAATGCGAAATGGAACACCTTCATTGATAACTTTTTTCTTTTCTGTTTTTTTAGTTTCTTAGTTCTAGAGCTCTTTCAATATAGACTCTTTCAAGATTTTGATCATAGCATATTAAAGTCCCTATTTCTGGTTTAAGGCCATTCACAAAAAGTTAAGAGGGAGAGAGCCAAAGTCAAGTTGGCTTCAGGATTTACTCCTGAATACTGTCCCTCCTTTTTCTTTTTAAAGTTTATCTTTATTGTTGAAAGTATTACAGACGTCCCCTTTGTTTTTCCCCCCTTTGGCCACCTCCATCCCACATCCACCCCTCCCAGGCCTTCAAGTTCATGGGCTATGAATATATGCATATAAGTTAATCTCTCCCTTCACCACCCCACCATGTTTTTTGCCTTGAAGAACTGAATCAGAGTACCATTTATTTCCACAGGAAAGTTAAAAGATAGTTTACCAAAGACCTTGACCACCATCTATAGCTTTTCTAAACCCCTTCAATTTCCTATGCAATTTAAGGTCTTTTAAGTCACTAGAGGTCTTCCCATTCTGAATATAGAAACATCAATGATGAGAATCATTGATCGGCTGCCTCCTATACAACCCACACTGGGATCGAGCCTGCAACCCAGGCATATGCCTTGACCAGGAATCAAACCACGACCTCCTGGTTCATACGTCGACACTCAACCATTGAGCCACATGCTGGGCCCATTCTGACTTTTTTACATCTGAGCTTCCTACTAATGTATGAAGTAATTTATATATATTTGAATGCTCTGGACTAGATGTCCCTCAAACTATCCTAAATTCCTCTGTGATGTTCACTGTCTTGTCTAGGCCTTGAAGAGTCTTTGAGGATGGTTTTCAGCTGAGAACGAAAGCAGAACTTAAAAAGTCACCATAAGAGATGTTTTTCTATGTGGAAGGAGGTTTACCCTAAAGAGGGAAGTGAGGTTTGGGGTATTTGACCAGCCAGGAGGGGAGGAGATTAGGTCAGAGGGAGTGAAGGATAGCCTTTTCAACTCACCTTAGCCATTCTGCCTCCCCCTGCAAAAAACAAACAAACAACAACAACAACAACAACAACAAAATAACTCCTAAGGGGACCTGAGTGTCTGCCTTTTGATGATTTTAGCAGTTTTAGACTTTAAACAATAGCTTTGCTCCATCTGCTTTTCAAATAACTTATTTTTCTCTTCTGTCTTTTAAAAAACATACTTGTGAAAAATAACACAATTAAAGGCAAGTGCATACAGTAATTATTATAAAGCAGTGAGAGGAAAATAGAGTAGAGGAGCTGTTCCCTGGACACAGGGACCTCTCCCCCAGGACGACGCTGCTCTCTTCTTCCTGCAGCTGGGGCTGCAATCTTAGAGCTGCAGCCACCCTGCCTGACTCTGAGAGCCTGGGGCTGCCCAGCCTTCTACTGTCCAGTCCACTGGAGGACTGCAGTGCCTTCTGCTCCGCCCCAGGCCTGCTGTGCATGGTACCCAGCAGGTGTACAGATGTCCTTGTCCATCACAGTGAGCAGGCGTAGATAGATGCTTCTGATAGACTCCTCTGGATTGGGCTTTCCAAACTACTCAGAACTTCAAGGAGAAGGTTCTAGTTGTGAAGGATAAAGGTTATGTGAAATATGGAGTAAGTCTGTATGGATGTTGCAAGAAAAGTAA